AGCACATGCATAATTGCTGGAGAAATATACACGTTTAATTTCCTTTAAGCCCTTGAAGCTTTCTTCCTTAAATAAATCATCCTGCATGGTCCTGTGACCTGAGACCTGGAAGTGGTTTTGTCCTGGCCCCAAGCCATGGCCTCCAGAGAGAGGGACTCCATCCCATTTGACACCCACATGAACACACACGATGCTGCCTTGTTCTTACCCAAATGGGCAGACAAGATGGAGCTGCTAGGGTCTGTGACATGTAAGGCCTTCTCAAGAGCTGAGCAGGTAGCTGACAACCTGCCTGCCTCATAAATTAAAAAGCACAGGAAGTAACTACTAGTATGTTGAGAGAGATAAGAAGGCCTGCAAGCTTGGGCAAAGAGATGCTGTGCAAGCCTTTGAGAAGTCCATTGTTGGAGTTGACAGGGACAGTCGGAATTGTCTTTGACAACCTCTCAATTTACAGGTCATAGGGGTTCACAGAGGAAAATCCTGTCGCCAGTGTTTTCCCAAGGACTGCTTGTCTAAGATCGCCTGGGGAACTGGTCACAAATGCCACTCCTGGCCCAATCGCAGACTCTGAGTCTCTGGGGATTCCCTCAGGAACTAGGGATTTAATCAGCTTCCCATGTGTTTCTAAAGAGCCCTAAATTTTGCCAACCTGTGGTAAGTGCCCTGAGCTTTTTGCTTAGACACAGGCTGGGTCCAACCTTCTCACAGGCCTCAGCTGCTCCTTCATTTGCCTCTGCTTGTCTCTCCAAGTACCATCAGTTCACCTAGGCTTTCTCGCCCCCAGGCCACTTTTCTCCCCCTACAGCGCTCTTCCCTGCCCCCTCCCAGCCTCCCCATCGAAGGCCCTTGGCATCCCAAGCTGCCAACTTTAGGAGATGGAAACAGCACACTTCCAGCTGGACAGGACCCCAGAGAGGATCTAATGCTGCCTCCTCCTCCTCTGTCCCCGTCCATGCGTGTTCCTTCCTCTCTTTCCCCTTGTGTATTAAGTGATGACATTACTTATGGAAGCAATAGCACCTGCTGTTTCCGGAAGCCGGAAGCACTGTGTGGTCTCAAGAGGGGTTTTGTAAGATGATAAAGGCTTTTGAACTGGGGACTTGTTCAAGGCATATTATAAATGGAGTCTTGGGATTATTTAACAAGAAATAACCATTTTGCCACATGTTTCTGTAGCCTTATGGTCTGTATGGTCTAGAGCAGTGATTTTCAATATTCTTCATCTCATGGCACATATAAACTAATTACTAAAAAAAATAGGTATACGTAATTATGTTTCATTCACAATGGATGGTGATTGTTGGATTGGCTGATGTCTTTTTTTTTTTTTTACAAATCTAAGGGGAAAAGAGGTCAATGCCCCTGACTAAATAGCCAGGTACTGCATGTTTTAAAAATTCTTATGGAATACCAGTGTGCCATGGCATACAGATTGAAAATCGCTGGTTTAGAACCATGCTAAATTCATGCAATGGAGTTTTTGTTGTTATAATCTGCTCCCTCTACCCACTCACTACCAGCCATCAGCCATTAATTTTAAGTGTAGGTCATTTTGAAATTCCTTTGTGGGTGAATTTAGAAGGCCTGTCAAGCCTTACAGGAAGCAGAGAAGGAGTATGGAAGCACATTGCCATGGTCAACCCGGGCCACATTCCTGCTTCACTTCTTACAGCTGTCAGACCTGGAGAACCTTCCTACTCCTGCCTAGAGCTTCAGTTTTATCATCTGAAAAGGGACAGCAGATGAACTGCAAAATTTCTACACCCAGTTCCTGTGCTCTAACACTCTTCCTGGTAGTGAGAGGACTCGTGTAGAAAGAACTGAAAGTCCTTGTAGAGAAAAGAGTCATTTCTGAGTCACTATCATTGAAATGATAACATCACAAATAAGCACTTGGGATGCACACAGTCATGGTGGCCACCTTAAGAGGGATAGACACAAGACTACCTGAGTTAGACTAGATAGCATCCAAGGTTCTTCCCATTCTTATGATTCTGTAATAAAAATTTGACTTGGCATTCAAGGCCCTTCATAATCACAATCAAACCTGTCTTACAGGCTCATCTAACATTATTCCCCCGAACCCATAATTCTCTCAAGCCACGTCCCATGAATTTCATGCTTTTCCTGCCACCAGACTTCTGATTCTTGTACTTTCCATGCTTCTTTCCTCTTTCCAATATTAAATTCCACTCCGCCTTGAAGGCCTTCTCCCATCAAGCTCCTCCTGCTTTCGCAGCTGTAGTCCACCCCTCCAGCCTTCCATCTGCACTTCCCATAGGATGTTAACATTTAACTGTCTGTGTTCTAGGTACATGGGAACACAGCTTACCATGCTGGAGACTCTTTGAGGACAGATACTGGGTCTTAAGTTTTCTCAGACAGTACCCGGAACCTGGCACATGGGAGTTGTTCATGAATGATTATTGAATTGGGCCAAGGAATTCCAAGGATTAATTCAAATACACTATGTCTTTGGTTTTAATATTTTTCTTATTTAAGGCACGTTGGCAACAAGGATCAGGTACTCTCTCAAACAGTTTCAAATGAGTAGACGGGTTACTAAAAGGATACAGGAGACTGTCATGGATCTCCAAGGACAGAGGGAACAGAAAAGTCTCTCTCTGTCCTTCACTGGCTACAGATGATCTTGCCTCTAACTCTTTCTGCATGTTAATTCCATTCTCCTCTTGGCAGGCTGAACCTCTCTGCAAGACTCTTATTTTTCACCCTTCCATAATCGAGGCTTGCCTATGGCTCCTGTTTTGTTATACATAGTCTTACTTCCTGTTCTTGATGTCTCGGGACCCTTCAGTTCAAGCATACTCCTAACTGGAGTCTCTCTTAGTGCAAATTCACCAAGGAAGAAGCTGATTAGCTTGGCCCAGACTGAAGCCCAATGTCATGTGTTCATACCTGGGTGAATCAGCTGATGAGGGTCAGAGGTACAGAATACTAATATGACTTCCCAGGTCCCACCCTTTCAGCATGAAAGGGATTCTGAGGAGGGTTGCATTGCTTCCCAGTAACTGGCTATTGGTTGGATTATCATTCCTAAATAAAACGCTGTTTTACAAAAAGCAGTGAAGGATACAGACACCACGCTATGGATGTACAATGTGGATTTACAAGTCAAAGTGTTGACTGTTTCCTACTTGGATGCTGCCCAACGTGGGTCTCTGGGGTCTATGGGAGCTAAGGGCTACTTGCAGGCTGGCTCAATCTCTCTTAGAACCTTCCGCTTGTATTTGTATTTCCTTCCAGGAGCTAAAGCCCAACAAGTTGGATATTTCTATATAACCAGCAGAGGTGATACTGGGGTTGACAGGTTGAGGAACTAGGGAAAAAAGAAGAGTGGCGATGAAGGGTGTGGACCCAAGGAGCCAGGTGCATGCACACTCTGTCATGGAGAGGACACTGTGAGAGGGAACTGGTGGTCAGTTAGAGCAGCCTCAGGCCGGTGTCTCAGGTTGATGCTTGGGCACTGTTTTTGCCTGCCTTCTGGATCATTCCTTTCAGCCTAAGACATATTGTGGTATGTATCTCTTAATATAATCTTCCATTGACCCCCTTTCACTCCTCCCCAACTACTACCCCAGTTTTCTATTTAACTGACGGTGATTTCCAAATTCACGCTCCTCTGGGAGAACTGCCTAAACAACATGAGGATCAGTTCATTGCTACTGAGATTTGGTGAGACTAGTGCTTTACAGGAACTTCTGGGACCTTCACATTAACTAATCACTGCATCTGCCAGTATTGTCCTTATTGGTTTAAACATTGAAAGACGGCTGCCTTACAGCCCAAAAGAGGAAGCCTGTGGTGGCCTGCTTCCTTGTCATAGCTCCTTCTCACTGTATTCTCCTCCCTTTCTTCTCTCCATCTTCAGGAGCCTCCTACCAACCTTGGAGACCCTATTTAAAAGTCTCCTCTTCTACAAAGTCTTCCCTGACTTTACAGCCAGAACAAACCTCTCCCTCCTCTGGACTCCAATATCCCCCTGTTCCTATCATGAAGGCAGCACTTACCCCTGACAACCTTGGATGCTCCACATCTCTTTCATCTTCAGGACACTTGACACCCACTGACCTCTGAGGGTTTGTTCAAGAGAACTTGCGTTCTTTCTTCCCAATTACTTTTTAAGCAAGACTCAATTTCCCTTAAGTTTCGTATGCTCATCTCAAAAAACAGGAGCAGAAAAGATCTCTACTCAAATCCAATAAGACCGGCGATGGTGAAAGCTTGCAAACCCCATAGAACTGTGGGAGCGTGTGGGATTTTTCTCAATGCCTACCTCATTGTTCTCAGGGATGGACTACTGACCTGGCCCATCATTAAGTCCATGCACGTTTATGTTTCAAGGGTCTGATTACATTGTGAGTTGGCTTTGACCCCGCATACTGATGACAGATGCACCCTCCCTCGTTTGTGTGGGTACCTCCTCAGTCCAGGGTGATAACCTCACAACCGCACCTGTCGTTTCACAAGACATGCCTAAAAATTGTAAAAGGAAGGACAGAATTAGAGCCATTTTCTTAGGCTTCCTGTAGGGTGTGTCTTAGTACCCACCCACAGGGCAATGGTATGTGAAGCAATTTCCTTTCCCAAGCCATTCATTCATTCATTCATTCATTCATTCACCAGTCCTCACTCACTACTTCAGTGCCCTCCTGCATGTAAACCAGCAGGAATCACACGCAGGGGGTAAGTGCTCTGACGGGTTTTGCAAAGATGTTCAGAGGAGTGCAGAGGAGGAATGCCTATGGCAGCCTCTAGGGAGAAGCTTCCCGTGGAAGGTGGCCCCTGAGCTGAGTCTCAAAGGAAAGGTCTGACCACACGCCCTCAAGGAGGCTGGGGAAGGCTCTCCTTGCAGCGAGAACAAACAGCTTGTGCAAAACCTGGAGGAGAGCGAGAACATGGTGTGCTCGGGAAAGAACACGTTGTTCACAGCGGCTGGAGTGTGGAGCTTAAGGAGCGGATGGGTAGAGATAAAACCAGAGCAGGAGGCAGGAGGCAGGAGCCAGGCCAGGAGGAGTCTCAGGAGCCATGGCTTAGGGCCTGCTCCCAAGGATGCCTAAAATTCCACTGGCAAAACTTGCTGGAGGTGATGCAGGTTAGTAACCTATGCGAGAACCCATCTCCCGGCTCCTAGTCCAGTGCTTACTTGCTCCTTCACTATTCATTAGGTGCCCCTGGCCAGGCTGCCTCTGGCCACACACTAGCCGGAGCCTTGCCAGGGCGCTGAGTGCAGGAGCCCCGGCTGAGCCAGGCCTGGGACGGTGTCTGAAGCTCAGATGGTTCTGTGGCAGCTGACAGGGCATCTGAGCTGGGACCAAAGATCCTCCCGCCCCCGGAGGCGGCAGCCCACGTTGCTTCCCAAGGCATCCGGCCCTTCCCTTCCGTGGTTAATCTTCACTTTTCATAAAGATGTGTTCCTTAGGGCACCGGGAGCAGAGCACCGCCTGATGGGGACCACATGCCTCGCCCACAGCGGGCGCTTTGGTTCCTGCCAGGCGGGGCTGCAAACATCTTGCCTTCCCTGAGCCAGCTGCCTTCTTAGTGGGGCATCACATGCCGGGAGCCCTTCTCCCCCTGCTACCTAAAAAGCTCATGGGTCCGGGGGCTGAGTGGGGGGGGGTCCCCTTCCCGGAGGGGCGATGCTGCAGAGCGCTGCCAGAGCCCCCACCCCGGCGGGGCAGGCACAGGCCGGCTTCCAGCAAGGATCGCGGGCCACACAAAGGAAATGGCAAGATGGTGAGTCACCCAGAGGCTCGCCTGCTGCCTGGGCTGCTGGCCCACAACAGGACGTTTGTGCTGCGCTCCCGGGGGACCGGGAGGAGGGCACAGGGAGGCAGACATTGTGGGGCGCTGAGTAATGCTGGGGGGCATCTCCGCAGGAAGCAGGGCCGACTTCTGGCGCCTGCCACTGCAAAGCCACCGAGCAGGGACTCAGGCAAGGCTAACAGAGTGCCCCCCCCCCCCCCGCCCCGCCGCCATCTGGTCACACTGCTTGTCCCCTGTGCGGTACATCCTATGTTGCAGAGGACGGTATGCTTTGCAGTGGTGTGAGGGGTTTCAGGCCTGGGGGCATGTCCATTTAACTCTTCCTGCCACCATCTTTGACCCAGCACTGAGAAGGTGCTGAGAGTCTGTGGGATGGAGGGAGGGAAAGAATAAGTCATCATACAGATACTGCAGCACCTGAAGAGCAACCCAAAGCCCTCGCCTCACAGATGGGGACATGAAGCGCAGAGATGGGAATGGCTGGAGCTAGGTCCCACAGGCAGAGGTGGCAGCTTTAGAATTGGGTGCCACACTGCCGGGCCTACGGTGCTCCACTGTGTAGCTGCCGTTGTGTGGCTCAGGGAAAACCAGGAGGTCTGACTGATGTGTGGACAGAGGTCAGGGTGGGGTGAACCCATAGCATGGATAAGATAGTCGTCGAGGGCAAGGTCAGGTCCCAGCCGGGACCTTGGGGAGTGAGGGAGAGAAACCAGAGCAGCAGGAGGCAGGGCTCCAGGCTTTAAGGCGATCACAGTCTCTTGGCAGGGGCAGATCATGGGGTTTACATAAGCTGGAAAGAATCAGCATTGTTGAGCACCTCTATGCCAGGACATTCAATGCTTTAACCCTGAGGGAGGTTCATGACCGATAAAGAAGGCGTCTGGGAGAGCAGGGGCCTCTGGGACATCAGTGACAGCTCCGTCAGGGTCTCAGAGTGGTGGCCACTGGGTGGGGCCACCGTGTGACAGAATCAGCCTCTGGGTCTGGCAGGCCCAGGAACTCAGTGTTGTTGGTGCCCTCGGAGGGGGTCAACGTCTCAGAAGTAACACAATCAACTCACACTGAGTCGGAGGTAGCACCGCGAGACTGGGGTGCGGACGGGTGGAGGTTTTCTCCCTGTGAGAAGGTGAGCAGTACAGGGTAGGAACACTGCCCAGGAGCGTGGAAGCAGAAGCAGAGCTTTAGTGCCCAAGCCAGACCCTCTGTTCCCCGGTGGCCCTGTTTCCGTGGCGGGTGGCCAGCCACGGGCTGCACATCTGAACTCTGAGGCTGGGCATGCCCAGGGCAGTGAGCACAGACCTGGCCTTTCTCCGTGGCCTTTTCTTTCAAGCAGGCCATCCTCGCCATGCTCCTCACTGACAGCGATCTTCTTCCAGCCCAAACCCAAACCACAGACTAGCTGAGAGCTCCCGACTAGCTGATCCAGCCTCAAGCTGGGCCCCCTGATGAGATTCAGACAGTCCAGAAGCACTGGGCCTCCTCTCGACAGACCAGGACTCAAGGCAGGTGCTGTCCATTCACAACAAGAATCATTTCCCACCTCTAGCAGTTCCCAGTTCCTTAACAGAAGCTGATTTTATTTTAAGAATGAGAGTACTGGACTCCCTCTCACCCCTAAGTCCCCCCCTCCCCCCGCCCCCTCCTCCCAAAATCCCTAAATTATCCACTTTAAAGATGAGGAGTTTAGAAGTCTAGTAACTTCCCAAAATCACATGGCTATAAAGTGATGGCACCAAGATTCAAATCTACCCTATCACGTATGCCTTCCCTTAAGACTATTAATGACAATGATAATAAAGGTCACCGATTGCCAAGGACGTGCATACGTACACACGGCACTTTATATATGTTTTTTTCATGTAATCCTCACAGCAACAGCAGAAGACGGTTCTCGTCTGCGGTTTAGAGGGGAGAGTGGAAGTGTGGAGTGATGAAGGGACTTGCCCAGGCCAAGGCCACACAGCTACCAAGTGCAGGAGTTGGATTTCAAACCAGTTTGTCTCCCTCTCCATCCAAGCTCTTAGCCACCCCAGTGCATTCGGAGCAAAGCACAATTTCTGCAATCACTCACCCCCACGGTACCCCTGGGTCCTGCCCTGGGCAGAAGTGGCCCTATCTGGGATTACCAAAGTCCAGAGCCTCGCCCTCAGCCTTGTCAGTTGAAGGATTAGGTTTATATCAGCTTCCCAGAGAGGAACAGGTTCAGGCAGGCTGACTTATGATGACTCACCCCCAAGGTCGGAGCCAAACCTAAGGAGTTAATTCACCTGCGAGGTACACCGACCAGGAGGTTGTGTAAGAGCACTGAATTCGAAGTCAGACGTAGCTGGGTCTGAAACCCCATCCGTCACCTCCTAACTCCAAGACTTTGGACATGTTACCCACCCTCTTTGAATCCCAGCTACGGCCTCACAGAATGGGGAAATGGGTGCCAACCTTGTGCAGTGACTGTGGCTTAAACAGATATTGTGGGTAAAATGTTTAGTGCAGTGGTTGACGCTTAGTAGAAGCTCAATAAACGGGAATACTTTTAATTATTATGATTGCTTGAAAACTGGGCTTGGCCACCTGATAAGGTCTCCCTGCCCCTGGCTGGTGGGCAGGTTACATTGTAAAAAACAAATTCCAGCTCAGAAGGCTGGTGGGAGAACCCAGATAAGAAGATGGGGCCTGAGCCCCAAGCCTCTGATAGTGGGATGAGGTGCACCCCCTTCCCTCCCACCCTCGGGGTATTGCTGTTGGAACACCCAGTTCTGACTCGGAGCCTGTCTTATCTTGGACAGAACTGCTCATGACAACCAAGTCTCTTTTCCCAGTACTTCCCTCCCACTGAGAAGCAGGCCTCATGCCACCTCATCTTCAAGGCCCCTGGTGGGTAAACTTGTCCCCTCTTCTAGGCCCTGATCAAATGTGCCTTCGTGTGTGAGGCCTTCCCAGCTCTCCCAGGCAGAGGTGGAGCAACTACAGGCCGATCATACAAAAAGTACCTTGCAGGAGTTGGGACACAACAGTGGAGAACACAGAGGTGGCTCTTCTCATCTGGAGCTTGAAGTCTAATGGGACAATAAACAAAGCAAACTAGTAAACCAAATCGGGGTGATGGGGTATCAGGAAAGACCTTTATAAAGAGGTGGCATTTACCCTGAGGCCAGAAAGATGAAATGGAGCCAGGTTTGCCAAGAGCTGGGAACAAAAGGTTCCTGGCATAAGGAACAGCTTTTACTTTCCCAGGAGGGAAAGAATTTGGTGTTTCTCATTGTTCACAAAATCGGGCTGGAGCAGATGGAAAGGGTGGGAGGAATCATAGCAATCAGACACAGGCAGAGAGGCCTTGCCTCTCTGTGTATCCAGCCAGAAATGTGACAGTGAGGATAAGACTTGTTACCATTTATTGAGCATCTACTACGTGCCAGGTACTGTGTAGGCATTTTCCATAAACTCTCTCATTCAATCCCTCCCACCCCGACTCAGTACACAATATCCATATTCACGCTCTGGTTTTGCTCTATGGTCAGTATTTCCCTGCAGGTCTGTTTCCCTGCACACTCCTCCTCTACCCCCATTAGACTGGAAGCTCCTCTGTAAAACATCTCGAGACCCCAGCACAAGGCACTGGAACAGGGAGCTGCAGTATCTGTGGAGTTTTCAGCAACACTCCTCTTCACCTAGTCTTGAGCAGCTACAATGTGGGGGAGGGGAGAGTCAGGAACAGGCATTCACACAGTCCAGGTAAAGTTTGTAGAAAACACATCAGGCATCTTGTTGTGATGATTTAAGAAAAACTTAGTTACATCAGTAGCATGCTCACAAGTCTTATTGAGGTCAGCCAGTTCCAGGATACTCCACACAGGGGCTAATCTCACCACTTTGTGTGTTAGTGTCTACCACGAAGGATGGCAGTCCCAGACCTGCCCCTCACCCCATGGAGTAGTGTGATCTTCACAGGCCATACGAGCACCTGCAGATAGCAGGGATGAGTCCGTTCCATTCAATATTGTCATTGAGCACCTACTCTCTTCTAGACCCTGTGGCAGCTGTTCTGTTAGACATAAAAATGAATCCAGTGTCCTCTGCTCTCTTAGTCACCACATTGCAGAACTGTGCAATGATCTAATGGAAGTACAGGCAGCGCAGTGATGGGGAGGTGATGGATATAGCAAGAGCCAGATCACAAACAGCCTTGGATGCCAAGGCCAAAGGCTTTGGACTTTTAGTGGACTTCCTTTGCATGAAACTAATGGAAGAGGAGGGAACCTAAAATGTGGTTTTCATTTTTAGTTCTGCTTTTGAAAGTAGGAAATTGTAAATAGCTCTATTTTTGAAAGGGCCATTCTGGGAGAAAGTGAAGAACAGAGGAAGGCATTTGTGATGGTAGAGGCTTGGGGCAACTCATGTCATTCACAGGATGAGCAAGCCCTGGGGCTGGGAGAGAGGGAGGGAGCAGAGTGAGATGTTGAGGAATGGGGAGTGAGAGTGGCAGGACTGTTGCTATGGAGATATCTCTCAAAGTTTACCCAAGAGTCCTGAAACCAGGGACAACTGAGATATCATGTTGAATGGAAAACTACTGGCCTTGAGTTGGAATCAGATTCCAATTCAATCCCTGTCACAGATTAGCTGTGTGACTTGGAACAAGTCACTTCATTCTCTGAACCTGTTCTCTCAGCTGAACAGTGGGGATTACAACTTCCAAATATGGGTTATAATAGGTAAAAAGATGTGTGAAGCTTCCTTTTACTGAATCCAAGAATCAAAGTCTTTCTCTTGGTGGTGAGTTGGCATGAATCTCTTCTTCCTCTTTGCATGTTCTCATCTTGTCATCACATGACCTTGGCCAAAAGCTGGGCTTTCTACCCTGTGATTCCTAAAGGCTCCTCTAGCTCTAAACATCTAGATTTCTATGACAAACTTGAATTTTGTCAGATTCAGTTGACGCAGGTCTACAGAGCGCCCAAATGAAGCTATTATCCAAAAGAAAATTATAGTCAGGTCTATAAATAATACATGCTGCATATTTACACATATTTTATTGAATCTTGGCAGACTGTGCAACCTATTCTGGTTTGATTTTTCAAATGAAAATGTTGTTTATTGCTTAAAGGCAGACAGCAGTGAGAAGGCAATTATGTTATTATGGCCATTAAAGACAGGCTATATATAGCGTCCCTCCGGTAGGTCTCCTCACCATTCCCAACTGGAAATTTCCCTCACTGAAATTCACCACAACCAGTGGGGATGGTTTGTTTTGAAAGTGTAACACAGAAAAAAAAGAGCACCACCCAAAAGAAGGGAAGGTCGAGGGAATGGGAGACCACCACACACCTTTTTCAGGCCTGTTGGAAAGGCATCAGCCGCCCTTGGTGGGAACTCTGACCAGAGGGTGATGAAACAATAGTGACCTTGAGCCAGGGATTGGCAGGTTGACCCAGCACCTTCTGTGCAAGGACCCTTGGTCTCCAAATGAGCAAACTATGTATATTCTTCACCTTCCAGTGAATCAGGGGCTAGTCAGGGTTAGATTCAGAGGTTCTTCGGTTTCTTGAATCACCAAATCAGAGTTAAGGGATCTAAAATGGATACAAGAGGATCCCAATGTGAAGGGTATAGTCCAGTGGTCGGCAAACCATGGCTCACGAGCCACATGCAGTTCTTTGGCCCCTTGAGTGTGGTTCTTCCACAAAATACTGACTTCTGCACATGGGCCACAAAGTTTCAATTGCACTGTACGTGCACGCTGGCACGTGGTATTTTGTGGAAGAGCCACACTCAAGGGGCCAAAGAGCCGCATGTGGCTCGTGAGCCGCAGTTTGCCGACCACTGGTATAGTCAATTTACAGAAGAGATGCTCCCACCTGGAAAATCTGTACTGTGTGTTTATGTCTGACTTGGAGGCAATTTTGAAGAATAGCTGGGTTCACAAATGCCATCCTCACATTGATAGGGGAGTTGGAGGAGGAAAGACAGGCACAAGGACCTAGAGGATAAACATTTCACCTCAGAAAGACTGAGAGAAGCCACCCAGGGACAGTCGTTTTACCTTGACGCTCAGCTGTCCAAGGATGCCAGAGCACACGGTGACTGAAGGATGGCGTCCAGCTGGGGTTCCCACAATGAGCAGTTCCACAGCAAGGGCTGGTAGTTTATTTTCATAATTGATACTGAGATACAGGAATGAGAGGCAGAAAGGAGGTGCTGGGAGCAGTTGTAGCTGGAAGTCCAGACCTGGCTGGAGTAAAGAGGTGGGCTGAGAGGATGAAGGAGGGCACAGAAGTGCCCACTCATCAAGTTAGAAAGTCAGCACTTGGCAACAAGCAGTGATGGGCTCACCCAGTCATACCCGGACTCCAGGCAGAGGTGGGGAACTGGTTAGGAGATCCTGGAAAAATCATTTGCTTAAAATGGAGAAGGGAACAGAAGAAAAGAAAAAAAGAAATGAAGGAAGGAAGGAAGGAAGGAAGGAAGGAAGGAAGGAAGGAAGGGAGGAAGGAAGGAAGGAAAATTACTAGAATTAAAGGCAGATACAAATTCACTAGCTTCTTTCTTTTAAAAACAAACAATTTTATTTTTGTAATAATTGCAAAGCTAATTTATGACTACAATAAAATATTTAAACACTTAAAAGAGAAAATGCAATGAATAAGTTTCTCCCCTATCCCAGATCTCATTCTCTCTCCCCAGAGGTAATTACTATTAAGAGTCTCTTGCATATTTTTGTGTTTTTCCAGTAATATTTTTTTTGCATATGAACACATATGTACATTTCCTTCTAAAATCAAAATTTTAAATATAAACATTGTGGACCTTTTTCTTTTTTTCTGCTTTGAGGATTGCTTAAAGTTTTTGGGGTTTTTTTCATAATTGTCATAAGAAGGACTTTCATAATTTATTTAACAAGTCTCCTTTTGATGGATAGGTATTGTTTCAAATATACATCAAAAAAGCTGAAAACATCTTTTGAAAATTACAATCAATTCTTTGCTCATTCTTTGTTTGATAAGCATTTACTGAGGCTTAGGTTAGGTGCTGTATAGAAATATGAATAAAAGAATAATTTGCCTTAAAATGTAGAGAATAAGACACACATGAACAAAATCACATTGTTCCAGTGGCCCCAATGAGACCATTGTGATGAGATTTAAAGACACACAGATAGAGAATGCACCCACCCATTCTAAAGGGTTTCCTACATGGTTTTTGTTTATATGCATTCTTTCAAAATATGTATTTTTTGTGTGCCTGTAATTTTAATGTTTCTACATAATGTTATAAAGCACATTGCTTTCTTTTTTCACTCAGCATAATGTTTCTAAGATCCGACCAAGTGGCGAAGAGTACAATTATCTGGTTTCTCCTCATGGCTGCATAGGGTTCCATGGTGCTCTTCAACAGCAGTTTAGTTGCTTACTATCCCAGTGATGATCCAATTGATTGATTACTACCAACTCTTCAGTTTCAAAAATAATGCCATCCAGCAGCATCCCCTAGCTGCCCCTCTGTGGACCTGTGTGAACAATTTTTAAAATTGATTTTTAGAGAGAGATGAAGGGAGAGGGAGAGAGGGAGAGAAACATCGATGTGAGAGCAGAACATCGATTGGCTGCCTCCTGCACACCCTTACCAGTGATGAAGCCCACAACCCAGGCATGTGCCCTGACCAGGAATCCAACCTGCAACCTTTCTGTGCATGGGACACTGTCCAACCAACTGAGCCACAGCAGCCGGGGCTGTGTGAATGTTTTTGATGCATAACAAATTGTGGAAGTGCTGGCTCACACAGCATATATCTACTCAATTTGACCAAGTATCCACTGAGTGTTATTCAAACCACCTGTAGTGATCTACACTCCACCAGCAATATATGAACATTTCTCCATTCACCCATGCACCAGTGCTTGGAAGTATCCAGCTTTTCAAAGTCTAATTGATCTCAGTCTCATTTCTTTTTAGTTTGCAATTTTCTTTCCACCAATGAATTGAAGGTAGCCTTGCAATTTTCTTCTTCCATTAATTCCTATTTCCAAGCTTTAGCCACATTTCTATTACAGTCCTTAATTTTGCTTGTTTATTTAAGAGTTGCTTATATATTTTAGTTATTAATCCCGTCTCCATTTTAATATTGTGAGTCTATTTTTATTCCCTGTCTATTAACTTATTAGTGGCACCCTTTGCTTAGCAGAAGTATTAAATTTTAGCATAATCCATTTCATTATAAAAAATTTCTTTATAATCTCTATGAGAAGGACTTTCATAATTTATTTAATAAATCTCTTTTGGTGAACAGTGTTTTTACTCCATTTTTTTCTCATTGGTTACAATGACCGGTTGAATATTCTTGTATATCCTCTGTGCATGTGTGTAAGAATATTTGAAGAACACATTTCTAAGAGTGGAATTGTAAAAAAAATGTGTCCAGTTGAACTTTTAGTAGCAATTGCCAAGTTGCTCTTGAAGGATTCCTGAAGATTTACACTCCTACACCCCGCTGGTGACCCCACCTTCTCACCACTTTGAAATCTTTATGAATCTATTAGCTAAGAAATGAATTTTACTGTTGTTTTAATTTGTATGCATTTAATTAGGAGGGATAACAGACATTGTTATCATGTATGTATAAGTTAGTTGTTTTCTATAAGTTAGGCTGCCTGTTTAAGAGCCAAAATAACAGATATACACACATGCTCTGTGTTTAGGCTGTGCCTGAATGAGTCACGGTTAAGCTAAGAATCACCACTGAAACCTGTGGCAGGCGTTGTGCCAGCTATGGGGTGACAATTTTGAGCAAAGATGATACAGCCCCTGCCGGCTGCGCTTACAGACTTGGAAGGTGGATCCAAATAATCGGTTGATTGAAATACGTGCTCAGGTGCCACAGAGGAACTAGCAGAGCCTCGAAGCAGGTTGGGTCCTCTGACCTGCCACACCTTTTGACCCACCTGGAGGGGAGTTAAAATTTAAAAAGGCAAAGGGAATGAGGCAGAGTGTTCTCAGTAGGAGGCAGTCGGACTGC